AGAAGAAGCTGCCTTAGAACTGAATTGTGAAGGATGATGGGAAATTCAGGCACAGTTAGGGATGATGAAGGATTAAGTTGCAAAGGTCAAGGTATTTTCAAGACTCAGTGGGAAGTGATGAAAACAGAGCATGAGACTAACGTTCACTTCATAAGACAGAGCCCATACCTGACATTGGTATCAGGGCTAGCAACCTGTGGCTAGACAGGTCATAGGCCATAGGAGAGAGCCTAATACTAATTTATTATTCTAATAGATATAATATTTTAAAAAATATTTTATTTATTATTTTTTATTTTATGTGTATGAGTGTATTGCCTGCCTGTAAGTGAGTGCACCCGTGTTGTGCAATGCTGCGGAGGTCAGAAGAGGGCTTTGGATTCCCCTGGAACTGGAGTTAAGGACAGTTCGTAGCCACCATGTGGGTGCTGTGATTCAAACCTGGGTCTTCTGCAAGAGCAGTCAGTGCTCTTAACCACTGAGCCATCTCTCTAGCCCCCAATAAATAGATATAGTATTAAAGTGACTCCTAATGACTTATTTTTAAACCCATAGATATATGCACCTCTCAACTCTCACCAGAGAATCTTCTTTATGTAGCAGATGGTGATTAACACAGAAACCTATAACTGCCCAACATGCACAGAATAAGAGACTGTAGAGTGATTATCCCCGAGTTGGGCACCAATATCAAACTTCTGCCTTCAAAGACTCAGGGATCATTGTGGAAGAGGGGGCAGAAAGATTGTCAGAGTAAGAGGTGTTGGATGACCACAAGGAAATAGTTTTCCAGATAGCTGGGCAGTTACTCGTATAAACTCAGAGCAATGGTGACAGCATACACACACCCCATGGACGCTCAAGCCAGACAAAAATCCCAGCATAGATGTGGGGAAGTAGGTAAGAACTCTACTCCTACCTGAGGAACTATTGGAAGCTGATGACTGCTGGGAAGGGGAGAGTCAATCTCTTTTAAGGATGTGACTCTTGGTAGGTTAACCAGGCTCCAGTGAATGGACCCCACCCAAGGGCATTTGGGGACACAAATTTGACCCTATAGGCCTTTCTATATATGATATATATTATGATACATACATATATATATATGATAAGGTTCATAAAATTGGACAGGGAAGCTAGGGGGAGTGCAGACAGGGGAGGGAGTCTAAATACTATCAAAATACATTGTATGACATTCACAAAAATTCAATGAAAAAAGAAAAATACACAAGTTATAAAGAGATGAATAATGCTTTGAGGTAACATTTATAGATTTTAATTTTACTGTTCCTATATTGAATGCAAGAGTTTCCACATAGGCTTTCTCATTTTATGTCTTTCAAGGGGCCACTGAAATGCCTCAGTGGGCAAAGTTGCTTGCCACCAAGCCTAAGAAACTTTGAGATCAATCCCCAGAACCCACATGGGAGTCTGAAAGTTCCCAGAAAACACTCCTGCATCCTGAGCTAAATTTCCTGTGAGGCTGACCAACTGTTTAACACTTCAATGACTGTGGAGAGTTTGGAATGGTGCAGATCCAGAGTCTAGTCACAAATTTTCTGAGGACATCTTTAATCCCATAGTCATACCTTGCCTACCTCTGTTTCTGAATTAACATTCTTGTAACTAATAAAGTATTAATTTAGCAGACCACAAGGTCTCACCAATCAAAAAGTTAAAGAGTGTCATCAGGTAGCATCTGAGAACTATAGTAGAGACACTCCACCCCTTTGCTATGACCTGCCTACCGAATGTACCCACCAATGCATTTGAAAAGTGTTTTGATTTATGGCTTGTCTTTGTTCTGTACTATAAAAAATGTAAATGTTATCATACTGGAACATGGAATTTGGGGTAACCTGAATCTGTGTTCCCAGGCCATGGTCACCATATTTGGCTCCAGAATAAACTGTCCCTTATCCCCTTTGAGGTAAGAGTTAAGCTTTTGCGTCGATGGTAGGACAGAACTGACTCTGTTATCCTCTGACCTTCACTCATATACTATGACACGTGCATAGTCACCTGCAGCCCCCACATACATACACAAAGTAAATAAACGTAATTTGTTTTAAAAAAGAACACAGGTTTCTCACAGCTCCCTGTGGATGTGGCAAAAAGGCACGCAAGATGGTTCAGCAGGTAAAGGTGCTCACCACCAAGGCTGATGGCTTCGGTTCTAACCCCGAGGCTTACATGGCAGAAGGAGAATAAAAACTGAATTCTGGCCTCCTCACACATGCTGTGGCATGTGCACACCCATCCCCTTCCCATACCTACACACAATAAACAAATGTAATTTAAAAAGAGAGCACGGCAGCATACACTAACAATGATCACAAAATAGCTTGGAAATTCTTGTTTTGTTTCGTTTTGTGAGGATGGAGCACAGAACCTTGCACATGCTAGGCAAATGCTCTATCACTGAGCCATACTCTGGGATTAAAAACTGTTAATTGACTGTGTGAGTTAATTATACTAATTATGTTTAACTGGTGTTGCGTTATCAACACCAGACCAGTGTACTGTTCATTGCATTTCCATATAATAGGCACTAGTGGTTCCTTAAAACCTCTTCCTTACAGAAAAGAGCTGCAGATGAATCCTACACATTGACAGTCGCGAATATGAAAGAAACAGAAGCAGATCTTGTCAGCACACTCAGAGCTAATACTCTCCTAGCGTCTCATGCATACTAAGCCTCTGGGTGACTGCCAAAATAATTGACATAGTTACCCAATTTCTAACATTTCTTGAAGAAGATGACTAAAGAGGAGGAGACCACTAATTGGTAAGGAGGCAGAAAGCTTCATAAATCGGGAGGTACATGAAACATTATTTGTGCTGAAGAATACACCAGCTCAGAATATATCATCTGGGGCCTGCAGGACGTCGCAGCAGGTAAAAGCCAGGCCTGATGACTTCAATCACTGGGACCCGCATAGTGGAAAGAGAAAACTGACTCCTGAAAGTTGTCCTGTGACCTCCACATAGGACAAGGCATATGCGTACCCCTGATTTATGCCCCCCCAATAAATATTTTTAAAAAATCACTAGGTAATGCAAAGACAGGTTTAGGCATATTTAAGATTCTTGGGGCTGGGCATGTAGTTTCGCATACTACATTTTACCTGGCTCACCAGCCCCTTAAAAAATAAAATTCTGGAGTGGGTGTGGACAGTGGTTGTATAGAAGTCATTTTCCCGCAGAGGAAATGACTAAACTGCCAATTTAGAGTGACAATTGCACTTTGTGTCATCTCAGTACCTTTCCTTTGTCATGAATTCTTTAGTTTAAGTGACTACTGGGACTAGAGAATGAATGCAGGCCAGTCCTTTCCTTTTAAGCTTATTTTTCATCCCTTAGTTCTTACCTGGTAGAAAAAAGAAATATTCTGGGAAATGAAGTGTCAGTCAAATTGAGTGGGTTCTCCTAGCAATCTCCCCACCTTTGGTTTACATCATGTGGGTACATAGTGCTGTTTTCAAGAAATGGGTGAAAAAGGAACAGTGGGGGAAAATTAGTTTTCTACTCAAAGCTAGAAAACCAGAAAGCGTTCCTGAGCTCTTTAGGAATGATGGCTTCTGTGAACTGTCATCTGCCCTGCAGCTTGCAAGGTGAAGGTGCTGGCTACGAAATGGGAGAGTTCTACAATACCAGCAGGCTTATTCCGCACCACTTGAGTCTGAGGCAGGATAGAAAGACAGGAAAAATTATGGGTACGTGGGAAGGAAAAGGAACCTCTCACTGCTGTCTGACTGAAGGGCCTTTTGCCAGCTGAAAATCAGGGACTGATTAGCAACGTTGCTTTAGGCCTTTCTCTTTTTCTAGCTATAAACGTATACTTTTCCAAGAATTTCACCAGAAACCCCCTTTATAGTAAAAGGCCATGTTCTAAATCCCTGGCACCCAGTTTTACGTTATCAGATTATAATCCTATTCAAGCAACTCCAGAACCAGTTTAAAATCTATAATTCCACTTGCCACTTCTGAGAGGGGCAATTTTTAGCCACTTTTTAAGAACCACCAAAATGATGTGTACAGCTACTGCTAATGCACTTAATTGTGACTCTCCCTCAAGGGCTTCTCAAGAAGCCCATGCCCACACTTGGGTGTGCCTTATTATTTCCCTGAGCACTTTTCTATTTTTAATAAACTCTAACTCATATTGGCCCATCCTAAAATTTTTTGTGTTGAAGCCAAAGACACTGTTTTTCCTGAGTCAAGATCCTAAAAGATCAAGGGAACTTCCCAGGCTACTGTGGCCAACAGAGTGGAGCTGTGCCTCTGTTCTTGCCACCACTGACAAGACGGCCGAGAAAGAACTGCCAGGGCAGAAGGGCTCAGGGCTCTGCCAGGACAAAGAAGCATCTCTCCAGGACTCATGTAGGGCAGATTTCAGAATTAATCCTTGTTATATGTATGACAGGCTGTGAGTGATTGACCAAAGTGCCCTGAAATTTGGCATGGTCCTGCCAGAGGATGAGGGACAGGACTTCAAGTCCAAGTCTTCAGCATCATCAGTTGACATGCTCAGAGAGCCTCTTCCCTCAGCTGGCCTAGAAGTCACTGTGTAGACTAGGCTCTCCTCAAGTGCTGGGATCAAAGTCTGGTGCCCCCACACCAGGCTGAATACATCTCTTTTTGCAAATTAAATTGTAAAGTGGCTTTGTGAGGTGCATGGTTTAGATTTAGGGATGAGAGAGGAAGGCTAACACAATTAAACTCAGGACTGCAAACCTCCTGCTCTAAGGAAGCCCGGCTTGTTTTTTGACATTCTTGTTTGAGATCACTAAGAGAAGAACTACCTCTGTAGGCAATTTTGATTTTATCAGTTGTGTTGAAGTTTCAGACTCCCAGCCAGATTCCAGAGTCAAGGATTTCTTTCCCTTTCTGAGTCCTGTTACCTTTCCCTGTTCTTTCTATGGTGCCCCATGACCCGGCTTGCATCAGGCAACTCTACCCTTGAGCTACGTTTCCAGGGCACAGGCAAACGCCTATACCTTTTCTTTCCTCCATTCTAAACCCAGCGAATTGTCCGCAGCAGATGAGCAGCGACAGGAGTCCAAGGTGTGGAGAGTTACAGGTGCAGGTGTCAGGACTGCACCGTCCGTACTGCCCGCGAGGGCGCGATTCTCACTCCAAACCCCTGGTAGCAACGCTGAACACAGGTCCCAAACTTTCAACTACACGGTGCAGTTCGCCGGAAGCATTCTCAGGCCCAAAGCTCTAAACTTGAGCGATTTTGGTCTCAGCAGAAAGTGTGCTTGCTGCAATTACTGGGCTTCTTGAAGTCTGTTGTCCCGCAACACACCTTCGATGACTCGTCCCGAAACGTGACTTGGCTTGGAGCGAACAGAGCTCCTCTTACAGAAGGAGTTCAGGTCCCCGGGCTCAGCAGCCCCGCCAGCTTTTCGGGCTGGCGAGGTCACCAACCTCTCTCTGGCTGCGACCAAGCAGGCAGAGGGCGGGAAACTGACGCGGAGGCTCAGAGTTGGGGTACCGACTGCGGGGCCGGGGAGCAGGAACGCCCCGGGAGCAGGGAGCGACCGCAGCTGCAGGGTCACAGGCTAGACTAAGATCGGTCACAGTCAGGGGTGGCCACCAGCCTCTGGGGCTGTGGGAGGGCGCGGCCCTGGAGCCGAGCCGTGTAGGCCAGCCCCAGGCCTTGCTGTCCAGCCCCTCTCCGCCCCCGGGAGGGTATGAGGGAGGGCAGACGGCGGACCCGCCCCCAGCCCCAGCTCCAGCCCCGTCCGCAAGCCGCGCGCGGCGGCGGCGGCTGCTGCTGGAGGAAGACCAGAGGCTCCTCCCTGGAGCGGAGAAACCAGTTTGGCCGGTCGGGCAGAGCCGAGGGAAAAGGGCGGCCGGCGAGGAAGGGCACACGGACGCCGGGCAGGGGAAGGCGGGAGCCCTTGGCGAGCAGCTAGAGCCGGAGGAGTCGCGGCCAACTGGACACGCTTCCAGGTCCCGGGCCGGCCCGGGTGCGCCATGCAGCGCTAGCGCGGTGGCAACACTGCGGCCCGGCTCGAGGCAGCCAGGTGCGCTGCGAGCCTCGGAGCGGCGCGTACCCCGCGGATGCCCCAGCCTGGGCCCGGTGAGCGCAAGGTAAGACCCGCCGGGCGGCGGCTGTCCCCGACCCCCAGATCCAACCGGCCCGGCAGGGTCCCGCGGCTCCCTTTGGCGGTTCCCGGGCTAGTGGAGTTCACCGATTGGCGATGCGGCGGTAGCAGCTGTCCGCACCCTCGGGAGCCCCAACAGGTGCGATTTGGCTGCGGGTGCCGAGAGCCTCCGCATCCCCGGATCCTTGGCAGGTTAAGGTCAAGCAGAGCGGTCCTTTGGGGTTTTCACCTGTCGAGAGGCGGGAACTCGCCGGAGCTGTTTGGGTTTTTCGCTGGTTTGGGACACACATGTCCCAAATTAAGCTTCCAGATTGGGTTTTTCGCTGGTTTGGGACACACATGTCCCAAGTTAAGCTTCCAGAGTTAAAGCCCGGAAAGGATCCGGGATCTTTGAAAAGAGTCGCTGCCGCCCGGCGGGGCGGGGGGGGCGACTACCGCCCCTTGGAAGTATCCTCACTGCTAGTCTGGGGTCGGGGGCTGATCCAGTGCGCCGGAAAATGATTTTACGGCGGAATGTAGTTGGCCGCTGCACCTCCTAGGAAGGATGGACTGGATGAGATCGATCGCCTCCACCGTGACTGCGGCAGGGCCAGGTGCCCTCCCAAGTCCTTTCTGTGAGCATCAGTGAGGGAATTGAGAAGTAATCCCTCAAAAAGACATTTTTCTGGATGACTGTCGGTCGGATCCTATTCACTAGTTCTCTGCGGCGGGCAGGGGCTGTCCTTCCACCCCAGTTTGATGCCTGACGCTGTCACCTCTCTGTGCTAGTGGAGTGGCAACGTGTAGGGCAGCGGGAGGCGATGTCGCACCGAAGGCGGGTGCTTTAACTCCTCACTCGTCCAACCCTCTCACACAACCCAAAGTAAAGGAAAAGCCTAGAAATGTCAGGCCAACTAACTCCTCAGAGGGAGGTGTGCGCTAAGTCTCTGCTGAGGCTCAGAGCTCGGATCTCAGACTGCTGTGGAAAAGGACCGGAGTTCTGAGGGGACGCAATAACGGGGGCGGGTTTTGACATGCCAAAGTGAAGGGGCCAGTTAAATCTTCTCAGCCTCACCGACCCCCTTGGCCTGCACGTGGTGGTGGTGGTCTCCTAGCCTGCTACCTTCTGGGTAGCTCTGTGGAGTGCTCCGGAAATTGCTCTCCCTGTTGGTGTGAGAAAAGATTCACTCCCTAGTCTTCCTAGTGCATTGCCTTCAAAATTCTTCCTCCCCTCCCGCTGGAAAATTAAACCAGACCACACTAATGAAGTACTTGGAGGCCGCCAGACACTCCCTCCCTCACTGAGGAAGGTTATCTGCCTTAGGAACACCGGCTACTAAGGATGTATGTTTTAAGGTCTCCATGGATAGTAACTAGAGGCCCGTATAGGAAACTACACACAATTTGAAGTAGAAGCTCTAATTTTCATCCTCTAAGGAGTTCTTTTGTGTTAGGCCTAAAGTGTCATTCATTACTTCTGGGTCTGTTGTTAAGACCTTATTAAACCCTATTATAAATGCATATACAGTGCAAAGGGTGATGAGTGGTTATTAGCTGATTAATTTCTGGGGGAGAAGTCACACCTACCTGCAATTACCGGTCAGAAGCCTCCCAATGATTTTCATTATGTTGTGTAGGCTTCCTTTTGAGTGAGAAACCTTAACCGCTGTGTTCATTTATCATCTTAACAGCTGTGCTTTATTTTTAGTGGTTCTCTGTGTAGGGCAAATGGCTTGTGTGGCTTTTTTCATACAGGCCAACACAAATGCCACTGTGGGAGCTCAGTGCTGGTCACGTACAAGCTCTCCTGATTTTTAAGGATCATGCACACCTTCACTTGTTATTACTTCCTAGATAGAACTAGGAGGATTTTCTTTTTAAGATGATGCTTTAAAACAGTGTTTTCCTGAAGCAAATGACTTAGTAAGACGATGTCTTCAGATGGGAGGCAAGTTCAGAACCGGCTCCATGTTCAGCCTTATTTTAGGCTACGGGATCTTGACTCTGACAGAGTATATCAGAGCAGCAGTGACTGCTTCCTTCCCTTTACCCTGCTTCCCTTCTTCCTCCTCCTTCCCTTTGGTAAAGCAAGGAGTAGTGGGAAAAGCTTCAGAGTCTAACAGGTTTCAGTTATCTTATTCTCTAATTGTATCATCTTTAGAGGGATTCTTAAATTTTATCAGTATGCTCATCCATTAAAGGAAAAAATATACTTTCTTAGTTTTTTGTTTGGTTTGGTTTAGTCTTTTTGAGACAAGTTCTCCCTGTGGCCCCAGCTGGCCTGGAGCTCACTTTGTAGACCACCACAGAGCTGCCTGCCTCTACCTTGGCTTAAAGGCATGCATCTCCACACCAAGCCTTGGTTTTTTTTTTCTCTTAAACCAGAGAACATGTGAATATATCCTTTATACATAGTAAGTATTTGAACATTGCTTTATTTTCTTCATTACACTGATATTTTTTATTATTGTGGTATTTCTAGATCGGGTCCTAGGTAATTTAGGTTGACCTTGAGCTTCCTATGTAGCTAACAGTGATCTCAAATTCCTGATCATCTGCCTCACTTTCTGAGTGCTGGGAATACAGGTATGTACCACCATACCCAGCTTATTTTTACTATGTATTTCTCACTTTTTGCAGTGCTAGGAATATACAAATCCTATACCACTGAGCTGTACTCCCAGTCCTTTGGCATGGTTTTTAAAAACTAACATCATGGCTAGGTATTTGTGTATACATATTATTATTTGTACTGAGGATTGAACATGATAAGCAAGCACATTGGTATGTTTTTAATATTTTATTAACTTACGACTTTAAACTGTTTTAGTTTTTCATAAGCAATATTCACAGACTACAGGTGATCCGTATAGTGCTAGTTTGAGTTGCTAGCTGCCTTTGCTCTTTAGTTTCAGGTTGTAAAAGAAGTCCCTGAACCTTTGGATTCAGCAGAATTTGCTTTTCAGGAACAAGTACAAGTTTTGTTGGTTCCACTCTTGTCCTAAATCCCTACCAAGAGGAGCCTGTAAAGTTTCTTAAGACCTGCCTTTCCGACTTTGCCTAGTGTTTGCTTCTAGATTTATCTCCATGAACTTTTTCTTTGTGGGGTCTTTAGATTTCCTGTGAATTTTTAGGCACTTAAAAAACATCATTCCATTAGATTAATTGCATTTATGCCAATAGGTCTTTTTTAATGTAAAAAATTAATTTGCTGCCAGTAGAGTTTGAATAATACAAAAATATGGCTTATCTTCTTCATCCTGTTACCTGGGTTACTCTTGAATCCCCATCCCAGCCTAAGGTCTTTTGAGGTTCTATCACTGAGGCCCTGGTTTTATGGAAGCTAATTTTAGAAAAGAGTATATATGCATACTCACATAGTATCCATCTTTCAGCCTTCTTTCCCATTTTTATTTGTAGAAACCAAAGAACTTATCTCATTTAGGAACAAATTTGTACTCCTCTTGATACTTCTAAATGCATTGTATTTTAAAGTCAATTATTATCAAAACCATTCACAAAGGGAACTGTTTGATAACTGGTCCCACTTAGCAGAGGTACCAGCTTCTTCGTCCTCTGACTTGGGCTAGGAACCAGGCTCCATTGCTTCCCAGCTCATAACCTAAGGGAGCTTAATCTCTCTTGCAGCCTCAGTGTCTTCACCTGTGAATGGCATGATGTAATGAGTTCCAAATGAAACACTTTGGAAAAGTAAAGGAGGGTGCACAAAGCTTAATAAAAGGCGATCAGTCTTATCTCTTTTTGTTGCTAGTGCTCTCTAGTAGTGCTCTCCCAACTATTGCCTTTTTCCTGGCTGTGTAGGACACAGGACTAGTTCTATGTGTTAGCATTTGTTTAGCAAACACAGGCACCCATTTGCACCAGGAACTGGAAAGAGTTTCTCAGTGCAGGGGCAAGGTGCTAAGACTGCAAAGCTATGTCATCATTCTGGAGTGTTGGGCTGACCAGGGAGCTCTGGTACCTGTAACCTTTCGGGAGGACAAGTTCAGTCAGTCACAGCTGTGAGGTATCCTGGCTGCTCTCTTGGTAAAGTGTTTACCTCCTCCTGCTCATCAGAGGCTGTTGGGACACACAACATGCTACAATGCCTGCTCTACCTCTGTGTTCCCGGCCTTCACACCTCTCCCTCCTTCTCTATACCACCCGTTTAACACTCAGTAGTGTTTAAACCTTATGGAGCTGGATACATGTTGCTACTGAAAGAAATTAGTAGTACATCTCCATTCATTCATCCGTCTTTCAACTATGCCAAAGGATTAACATTACTGCCCCCTCCCTCCTTTACAGAGCCTGTGAGTTTCATAAAGGACCTGAGTTAATTTTCTTATTAAATAAGAAAGTTAAATGTTCTCTCTAATCATTGTCTCTGCATGGAGGGAGAGTGGTCCATGGAGTGAGAGTGGTCCATGGAGGCTGCCTAGGGATACTTACAGCTCTGAGGGCCTGGTTTATCATCAGTCTTCAAGTCTGGTTTACTTTCCTTTAAAGTGTCGGAGATAGGCCTGAATGTGGCAGCAGAAAGTGTCAGCCTAGGAAAAGTGCTGGACCCCTGAGGGAAGTTCACCCTTGTTCCGGATTACCTTTCAGTGGCAAAGGCCACTTGCTCCCCACCAGCATGGTTGAGAAGCCAGTGCTATGGCATTGTGTATATGTGGAGACTGACCTTTGGCTGGTAGCTTGGTCTCTATTTACAGGACTGCTGTTTTATGGCTTTGTTTCTTTACTGAGTGGCTTTTGTTCCACCAGAGTTGAGGTTTGTTTGATTTAGGGCAGGCTGTGTTTGAAATCAGTTTTCTAATCTTTACCCAAACCAAGTTGAGCTAGAAAGTCCTCAGCAGGGCTTCTTAGGCACCAAACACTGTCCTCACATGCTAACTGGTGGTCTGTGGCTTCCATGGGCTGGATACATGATTTTATAAAATGTGGAATGAACACAAACTCTTATTTTGCCCTCTTGGTACCCTGTAAAAACTACTGGGATGCATCTCAGATCTCTATACATGATGTGCGGATCAAGAAGAAAAATTTTACATTCTCAATCAGAAAGTAGATATTAAAAACACTCATATGACTCGGGTGGTTTAAGTAGTGACTCCATGGGGAGATGGCATTTTCTATTGGGAAGCGTTGGCCTTGTCTTTACTTTGGAAGATAAACATGTGGACCCTCTAAGGCTGGCGCTAGCAGCTGCCAAATAAACTTCTAGAATTTTTGATTCAACAAGGATTTCTATGTGTGACAGGCAGCAGGGCTCATCGGCCTACAGAGTCTGTGGATTAAGTAAGAGTTC